AACGTAAACAACTAAAAAATATGAGAAACTCTATAAAGAAGGTGTTTGGGTGCTTCACGAACTCTCCAATGATCATCGTTTCCAATGTGTGAACAATGCTTTGTCTCTTTTGGCGCATAATGTGCGTGAACTATTTTTGGACAGAATTATGACCGGTGATGAAAAATGGATTCTCTAAACAGTGGCTCAGTTCTAGACAAATATCACTTCCGACCCCAAAACCTGGAATTCATCCGCAGAAAGTGATGCTTTGTTTTTAGTGGGACATTAAAGGAGTAATTCATTTCGAACTCCTCAATCCACAGCAAACTGTCAATGCAGAGGTCTATAGCCACCAACTTCAACCAAGCCCTTCAACAGAAACGGCCTTCACTTGTCAATCGGAAAGGTGTTCTTCTTCACCACGACAATGCACGTCCGCATGTGGCATGTTTGACGCAATAGAAGATTATAGGTTTTCTCCCCCATCCACCATATTCTCCAGATATAGCACCATCAGATTTCCAACTTTTTGGTTCGCTATAACACCATCTTAATGGGAAAACGTATGCATATGTGAAAGGTGTTAAAGAGGATATCGACATGTTTTTTGCTTCAAAGCCAAGTGATTAATTACCTGATTGTAAGGTGGAAATGCATCATCGATAAGAATGGAGACTATTTCATTTAATAAATGTTTTGTTTTGATATACAAGTTGTTCGGATTTTTTCATATATATAGGGAATCTCAGACTAAGGTAGTCACTGGCAGAGAATTTCAGTTAAATGAGATGAATCGTAGCTCACAATTATAAATAAATACTTGCAGTCTCACAGTCGTAGATGGTGTTAATTAAAATAGAATTAAGATTGAAAGTGAACAACTTGGATCATTCATTATTCACAAAACCAGCAGAAAAGAAATATGAAACAAACTAGTCAGCTACGTAACTCTCTTAGAAATAACACTCATATCAACACAAGGGCGGTACAAAGAAAGAAAAGTAACACCAGATGCATTCCAAAACACTGACATTCAGCGTTGCCACGTCCTCTAAAGATTGAAACATAAAATTTATGATAGGTAGCGTACATTCTACTGTAAATGTGATTGGAGAGCCCTTTTTGTAATGTGAAATTCACTGTTAAAATAAAATGTTTACATAAAAACTTTATCTAGTAACCTTTTGAGAAACAACTCTTTCTCAGGCTTAATAAGAAAATGAAATTAAGCCTGACAAAAACGAACTGTTCAAAACTTTGGCAGGTAAATGATTAATTTCTATCTAAACATTGTGTTTTTACAATGATTTTATTTTATTACGATTATTTCTTATCTTTGTGTGAATTCTAAATCTTTTAGCCTAACCTAACTTTTGTCTTACGTCCATTTTGGAAATACCAACAAAGTTACAAGAGAAATAATCGTTGAAGGAACCTAAACGTCTGGGTAGTTGAAAAGCTGATTAGTATCGTTGAAATTCGGAATCTGCCCATAATTCCTGTCAAAAGTTCTACGTCACGTGAATAAGTGGTCACATCTAGGAAAATGTGATCCCACCACCCTTACTGCGAGCAGAACAATAACAAAATTGAAGCCCGTCCGCGAACTCTCCCGACATGCTCTAAATCCAAAGTTCTTTACCGTTTTTTCTACTATAGTAACAAGTGGCATAAAGAATATGGTATAGAAAATATGAAACATACATTTAGTTGTGTAATAAATGGTGCCAGTTGTGTAATAAATGGTGCCAGGCTCCACACCCTATCTTTCGAAATTGTACAGTTTTAAATGGAAGTAGAAGAAAAATATCATATGGTGGGATATTATATAGTAAAATAAATTACTTAAAAATGACCGGCTTTGTTATTAATTTCATCACCGTTATATGAAGACATGTTACGTGATTTAGTACACATATTTAGATCTTGTGTTGTTTATTACTCCTTAAATAAAACGTTATTCAACTATATGATCATTCTCTTATAACGAAGATAACATTTACCATCCAAGGCCAATAGCTAACTGAAGTATCGTTTCCACCGGCGTACGCATAATTTACTGGTCCACAGGCTGTGAAACAAACAAACATTTAGAATAACGTATAATGCTCTGTTATAATGTGCATATATAAAGAAGGGTATTTAGAATGTAATGCACCTCAGGTTTGGAATTCTCTTAGCAGCAAATATTACCTACAATAAAACTTACTGAAACTACTTACAACTGAAAAGATATTTAAACATAATTAGCTCTCTTTTAATTGATTAACTGCAAAGTCTTTGTTCAACCCAAACAAACAAAGGTATCAGTTGTTAACATATAGTAGGTAATACAGCATAATGTTTAATGACAAGAAAATTCAAAATCTCACATTCTTCATTTAGATATTCATATTTTCTCAACTCTTCAGATTTTTTATGTGGTGAAATCTGAGTAGGAAGACTTGAAGGTGGCGGTGGTGTTGTTGGAGGTTGAGTGGACTCAGTCGAGGGCTTTAAAGTGAAAGGACAACAAACTTCCCTGACGCCACGAACGTCATTACAGATCTTTTTAGTACTGCTTCCCCGTAATGTTCGGCAGTAAGATTCTCTGACGCAAACGCCATCTTCACCGTCTGTTGTTTGACAGAAGGAAAATTTTCTTTGAGAAATTTCTTGAGATAAAACTGTCAACATATAAAACATAACATTGGATGAAACCTTTGATAAAGAACCATATCAATATTTTAACCTATATTAAAAACATAAAGATATAAGACAGTCATAGTAGGTAGTATTGATGTTTCGATATTAATCTTCTTATTACAAGCAGTTTGCTCCTCTTTAGCGAACAAATTTGTCTTTCAACTAAACTAACAATCCTCCAAAAGTCAAACCAGTGCAGATAGGCTTAACGTTGACTTACTGAGAGAATTGCCTCCCAGTGGCACAGTGGTATGTCTGTGGACTTATAATTTTAGAAACTGGGGATTGATACCCGTGGTGAGGAAGAGAACATATAGCCATTTATGTAGCTTAATAACAAACAACAACTGACAGAATTATTTTCAACAACATTACATACAAGTCAGTATATAACTATAAAAAAACAATATTCATAATTGGCTACTCTGCATTTTTAAGTATTGTGTTATAATCATTGTAAAAATAACACAAAACGGAGAAAAGTCTTAAATCTTAGGTTTGTACCTAAAAATACATACTTGTAATAATTTACAAAATTAGATTAAATACGTTTTGTGAAAAGGAAAAACTCAAATAGAGCTTTCACAGTACTATATTGTTATTATTAGTGAAATTATAGTAGCATATGTTACTCTAAAAATTCCAAGTAACAACCATGTGTGTGGCTATTGATAGTTTAAGAATTCCGCGCAAAGTTGTACAATAGATTATCTGTACATAGCTCATTCGAATTTTTAGATGACAGTTAGTCAATATAACTCACCATCAATTCTTTGTCTACTCATATCTGACTGAAAGATGTGGAGTTTGTTTTTAGTCAAAAGGAACGCGAACAATTAATCTTTGGATTGACTGTCCAAGTATGTTAACCATTTGAATACACCCGTCCTCGGAATGTGTATATACTAATATGTTTGATTTTAATAGTCTGCTGAATTGTAACCATAAATAAATAAAATATATATTCTAAAAACAACTAAAAATATCGATATATTATTTTACTATAAATAATGAAAAATTTAAATTACCTAAAGCCGTAAAACTTATTAGTAGGACTACTTGAGACTTCATATTCTTCCCGAAAGGAGACGCAGTTTGATCTAAAGAAAGCAGAAGATGAATAAAATTTAATTTTAAATGAAATTAACAGAGCAATCCGAGTAAAATAAACAGATAACGCGTTGATCTATTTTAATTGCTAGAATTAGATATTTTGCTTTTCGCACTTTTAACTACTCTTTAGTTAACTACCCAACTGCTGAATAATTTCTAGTAATCAACTTGGGATCGAGTTTCTTGATAGCTAAGATTTCTTCGATTC